ACACTAGGCTTCCAGAAGCAAACTGTATGTACATCAGGCAGGCCCATTTCCTATCCATTTCACATCTGTGAAGCTAATAGACAAACTATTTGCTCCAAAATTAATTCAACAATGCAATAACTGGACAGGCATGGAATGACAGCTATATACATTGCAGTTCCAAACGTGTGAAAACATAAGATAGAAAAGAATCACTGGTCCATGACAATTGTGGAATACCACCAGATTTCCTTAATTAGGTTTCAGAGCATGGGAATAAGCCTCCATGACTTGGCCTTCCATCTTCTCACATTCCCCTCTATCTCTTTTTTCCAAAAAGGCAGAAGTTCTACTGAAACAATTTTCTCAAGAATGATGAGGATCTTGCCTGGATTTTACCAGATTTTATCCTGTTAAACAGCAACCACAGCCAACAAATGTTCTTGAAATTATTCTTTTTCTTTGGCCCTTGCAGAAGGTTGAAGGACAGTGCTCTTGCTCCCAAGGACCCATCTAGCAAGATCAAGGATATTTGTGAGGCACACACACAATCAAAAGCAATTTTGTGCAACTCAATATTCTGACCTTTTGATCTTTCAAAAGTTTTTTGCAAAAGGTTGAATGGTCATATACTCAGCGATCTCTCTATACACTACATGTCGGGCTGCCAATTTTGACCTTTACTGTCTTCTACCACCCAGAGTCAGAATCTTCAAAATGATCTGGTGATAACAGTTCTCCCCCCAATTTCTCTTACTCTCCTGAAATTTTAATATAATCAGCCTCATACTTTATATTGAAAGCTCCTTAGCTTTGTAAACAATGAAATTGTTTATAAGTTCTCTTATCCACATAACTGCACTCTGTTGCCTACCACTATATAGCAAGGATTTCTTTTCTTCAGTTTCCAATACCATACTTCTCACTTAATTTTTAACTTTCAACAGCAACATTTCTAGGATCAATAATATTTTTATTTACTTTTTTTGAAATGGAGAAGAGAGCAAGACCAAGGAAGTGATGAATCTGCTAACCCCTATTCAAGGTAATTTTTGCATTGTTCACCATGTTTCTCAAATTACTTTATCCTTTATCTACTGCTCATTACTAAGTCTCCTCCTGTATTCGAAGTTTTTTGGGGAGAGGGGTTGGAGGAGGGAGGTTTTGCACATTTTGGAAGGCAGACTATGACATCTCGAGCACTTGGGCCCTGCTAACCATGTGGAAAACCCACAAGGAGTTCTAGGTCCCATGCTTTAGTCTTTCTGTTGGAAATGAATCAGTGGGTGGAAGATCTCTCTCTTTTGTTCTCAGACAGAAAATAATGTTATTTTTTTCTTTAAAAAAATGTGAACTGTAACTGTGTCCTTATCTGTTGAATTCATACAGTTTTGGCAGAATTTAAAGCCTTGCTCTTACAGAATTAAGGATGGCTCAGAGCCAACAACAAAAATAAAGAGAAAATTTGTTGCTTCCACTCTCTGATACGTACATTTTCTGAGGGCTCATTTGGGCATGTCATGCTCACCCATTATAATCTCCTTTTTGATAAGTTAAAGTCATGAGATAAACTTATTAGAGACCACATCGACTAAAACCCCATCTCTGCCATAAAATGTAACTTAGCTGCAAAAACTGGCATTCATATTCTCCAAGCACACATAGAAACTGGAGAGCATACAATAGTTACACATTGCAGTTGAGGGGTAAGCAGGCAACAATGCTGGCTAGAAAGCCTGTGTGCCACTGTTTCTCTGCGTTTTGGCTAAGATCAAGTGTGGCAAACCTTTGTGTCACACTGAAGGACCTGGATTAGATGCAGATTTGGTTCCCAATGTTAGCTTCCTTCCTTCAAGTGCTGACACTGGAAGACAGCAGTGCTAGATTAAGTAACTTGCTCCTGGCCAATCATATAGAAGATTTGAATTGCATTCCTGGCTCCAGACTTAGACCTTGGTCTTACCACTGTGGGCATCTGAAAAGTGAATGAATGAATGAGTGGAAATTTTCTTGTTATATTTCTACCTCTCTGCTTCTCAAATAAAAACTGCTAACACATAGTTTTTACAATTGTTTATATGTGGGGCAAGCATTGGGGTACCGAGGGTTAAATCACCACCTGCAATGCCATAACCCACTACGAGCACCAGTTCAAATGCTAGCCATTCTGCTTCTAATACAGCTCTCTAGTAATCTTACAGAAAATGCAAAGGAAGATGGCACCAGCACTTGATTTGAGGCCCTGTCAACCATGTGAAGGGTCAGGCTGGAGTTCTTGCCTTTAAGATTCAGTTTGGCCCAGTTCTGGTCATTGTGGCCATTTGGAGATTGAACTACTAGATGAGAAAACTATCTCTCAATCATCTCTAACTACTTCTCAAATGCCAAACATTTTATAAATTTTACAGATTTAAAATATGCAGTTTAATTTTCTTCTCAAATATTTCATTTTTATTTGTAAACTGAAATACATAAATTTTGTTTAAAGCAGTAGAATGGATAGTGACAAAAACAAAGGGTACGTTTTACTTATACCAAAGTAAAAAGTTCTATATATCTAATGTACAACATTGTAAACATGGTTAATAACTATGTATATAAAATTTGCCAAAACAACTCTAAACCTTAAATATCATTTGTCAGTTGATAACTGTTGGTGTCTCCAAGAATACTTTGATTTGGATTCTTGAAAGGTTTCAAACATTTGAGTAGAATTTAATTTTTCATTTATTGATCATACATGCCTCCACAAAAGTGAAGTTCCATTCACCGATCTTTGTAATACTAATCAAGAATGTCAAAACATGCAGTGAGTAGCAGACCTTAAAAACATCCTCACAAATGATTTTAAAATTTTGTGGAGGTTGGAACCCTATTATTTATAACATAAACAGTAAGAAATTTACTTTTAATGTATATGAATTACTGGTATGAAATTTGAACTTGAAAAGCACACATAATTAAAATTAGATTCACTTAACACACTAAAAGAAACTCTAATTTTGTTATAGCTTAAAGCCATAGAGGACAGTGTTCTGATAACTGCTAGTGGGAAAATGGGGTTCCACATGTATGTTAAACTCCAATTTTGAAACTGACTCTTCATAATCTATTGTAAGTCATAATTTTCTATCCTGCTGTGGAGAACAATTGTCTAGCATGGCCAAAAGAAGCAAGGTTAATGAAGCTGACCTTAAAAGTGACAATGTGCCAAAGCAAGAAGGCAGACTTTAGTCTTTACAGAAGAAAAAAAAAAAACCTTAATCATTATGATTACTTTCCTTTGCTGAATAGCATTTCCAACTTGTTAGAAATTCTTACCTTCTATGGTCAAATTTTCCATTTGAAACTCATATGCCTTTTCTCAGAATGGTTTTCTCCACTGTATCAATGTGTGTACACAAAGTCTTTCAAAAGTTATTGAAAAATGTGGATTATGAAAAAACTATGCATAAATTTCAGAGATAACCTTAAGCATCATTTAATTCAATTTTTCACATAAATCTTCTGAAGAGCCATCATATATGTATAAAGTAAATATGTAATAAATAAATTGTATATAATTTTACAAAATATATTATGTAATATATGTAATACTTAATATTGCATGTCAGCTTAAGAGATTAGTAAAAACATGCTTGAACATGGGCTGTTATACAATTACATTTATATTACATATTAATTATTTATACATAATATATTATGTAATATAGCATATATATGCATATATAATTTTACTAAATCATCTTATTTGTCCCTTCCTGAAACACTGAAAATACAATGGCCATCCATTTCTCCAAAAGTCATTATAGCCCAATGCTAAAACACTGGTTAAATTTATAGTGAGGATATGACATGACACAGGCATCCCCAGCCGCTGGCACACACACTAGGGAAGGAGGAAAAAGACTTAGGTCAGGTGTGCTACTTCTGAGATGGGCTGATACCAGGAACAAGCTTGACAAAGAAGATGTGGTCCCCACTAGCAAGCAAGTAACTGACTCTGGAACACAGCCAGTAACACAATCAATGAATATGACAGCAATAGTGATTGAACTAAACAGTTCTCTATATCCTGATAGAAAATCTGCAATGTCTGATACAAAAAATAATTACACTAATCTTAAGAGTCTGGTGTTCACAAATTAAGCAGATTCTCACTACTCCTTAGAATAACATTGGAAAAGAGCCAAACAAACACTGAATTAAAAAATGATATGGGGAACCAAGTAATATACTGGAAGAGGAATCTTAATTGGAAATTGAGGCAAAAACTATGTCATGTGGCATAAACAACTGATCATTAGGCCAAAGTACAGGATGACAATCCCCAAAGTAGATTACAAGAGATTATAACTTGCTTATTCTTGGCTCTTATGCACTGCTCTGACGAAGTCAGATGCCATGCTTGAGCTCCTTCTGGATTGATTCAAGTGGCAAGAAAGCTAGACTGTAGCATGTAGCCTGAAACCTCTAGTCCAAGATCAGTTGAGAGAATCCTGAGAACCTTGTGACTGAGCTTGGAAACACTTGCACATTTAATTGAGAATAACCTTGACTTCAGTCTTGTGAGAGACTGTAACGCTGATGACCCCCTTCAGTCATGTCCATATTCTAACTTCTAGTCATAGATAACAGACATCATATGTCACCTTAAAAGATCAGTAAAAATATCCTTGATCATAAACTGTTATACATATAATGATGGGGTTTTGTGTTTTCTTTTTCTGCAAAAGGATTTAAAACAATTCAGACAGAAGGAAAGGCACACTGGAAAAGACCTAGAAAAGAGCAGGTACACAGCCTGTACTTGACACCTCCCGACAATCAAGATGTATGACATGGCACAGCTGTTAGTTGCATTCTCAGCAGTTTTCCGTGAGATGCAGAGCTTTGCTGGGTCCATGGTGCCAGCCTGACTGAAAAGAGGATGCTTCCACGAAACAAATGAGGAACCACCTCCTCCTACTGTTCAAGTACAGGGGCCTGAAAAGCAAAGGGAAGAAGAGCAAAAGACAAAAATGGCTAAATTTGTGATCCATCCAGCCATGGCCAGCAACTGCAGTGACATCCTGCGGTTAATCAAGGAGCTGGCTAAATATGAATATATGGAAGACCAAGTAATATTAACTGGAAAAGATTTGCTAGAGGATGGTTTCGGAGAGCACCCATTCTACCACTGCCTGGTTGTTGAAGTACCCAAGGAGCAGCGGACAGCAGAAGGACACACCACTGTTGGTTTTGCCATGTACTATTTTACCTATGACCCTTGGATTGGCAAGTTACTATATCTTGAAGACTTCTTTGTGATGAGTGATTATAGAAGTTCTGGTATAGGATCAGAAATTCTGAAAAATCTAAGCCAGGTTGCAATCAAGTGCTGCTGTAGCAGCATGCACTTCTTGGTAGCAGAATGGAATGAACCATGTACCAGCTTCTATAAGAGAAGAGGTGCTTTTGATCTGTCCACTGAAGAAGGATGGAGGGTCTTCAAGATCGACAAGGAATATTTGATCAAAATGAGAGCAGAGGAGTGAGGAATGCTGGTGTAAACGATGACAGCTTCCATTCTATTTTAGAATAAATTCTTAACTTCTCTTGCTTTCTATCCTGTTTGTAGTAAAATAATAGAATGAGCACCCATTCCAAAGCTTTATTACCAGTGGCTTTGTTGCGTCTTTGAAATGCAATCTGTTGAAAATGGCAATCTCATATACAATTTGGAGTCAAATTTCTCCTTGAATATCTTTTGATAAACAACAAGGTGGTATGATCATAATATATAAAGAAAACTTCATTTTTGTGAGTCATTTAAATATGTACAATATACACACTGGTACTTAAGAGTTTCTGTTTTGGTTCTTTTTTAATAAACTACTCTCATTTAAAAAAAAAAGATGTACAACATGTACAGAGTATTGGCAACTAAAGAAGTGAATCTGAGATTTGCTGTCTATAATTGTTACTGGAGGTGAACTACACAGATATGGTTCACTGCCTGCCTGGCTGACCTGTCACTAACCTCTCCAGAGATTAAAGTATTATCACATGAACTAAGGCCCTATTATTCAACATTATTAGACAGACTACATGGTGTGATCCAGAGACCCAAAATGGACAAATACATTATTATCAGGCAGAACGTTCTAATTGCTTAGAGATTATCTCCCTGGAGTCCAGAAATTAGTGGGAAAGAAAAAAATCCCTTTAATAATGCTATTCCTTCAGTACACATAGTATTGCCTTTACTCAACAATCTTGTTTTGAGTCTGAGCTTACTGCTTCTCAGCCTGCACACTTCTATTATTTTGCTTTGTTCACTGCAACCAACCCATGTTATACTAAATTTATTAGTGGTCTTTATGCTAATTATCAATATATTGTTTATTAGTAACAAAATCACTTTTTTTGTCCCATTGTGTGGTTTTGAGGTCAAACTAAAGCAATTCACTTTTTCTTGTTGGCACAATGTTGAACAACTGTCACTAAAGGATACTGAATGGACACTCCAATCCAATCCCAATGAATTCCTTTTCCTTGCAGTAGCAATTCTGGTCAATATGCAGGACATCCAGTGGTGTTTACTTCCCAGTAAGTTAGCCAATATCCACCTACACTGGCCCTCAACAAGTTCTATACAATTCCAGCAGGCAGTCTTCTGAACAAATTTCACCAGTAATCACATCAAGTGTCCCAGGAAATTCAGCAAAGTTCCCTTGGTTGAATTTGTAACAAGTTCCACCACCACTACAGCTAGGTTTTCAACCAGCTTTGTTGGTCCAATGGTAATTTAGCCAGTAACTTCCACCACTCTTTATAGCAATCTTTTGTAAAGCTTTCAGCATTTCAGTGGGAAGTTTCCTGTTTGCCACCCTCAATACGTAAAACATCTACATACACCCAAGTATCTATAGCCTCTGCTTCTCCAGTGAGATCTGGGTTTTAGTCTTGCAGCAGGAATGACATTACTATAATTTTTTGGTATAATCTGTATCACTAGAATAATAATATATGTTCCTCATATTTGCCTTCACAATATTTTTTAATTCTATTTAATACTCAGTAGGTAATTCCACATTAATTAGTTAATATTCTTGTACTCAATTAATATGTAATTTCTATTTCCTGACTCAACTGTCCACTAATATAGCCTTTAATTTAAAATGAAACAAAAATACTTTTGTCAGTGGCATAATGTGTTTCTCATGTTTAAAAAAATCCTGGGAGATACTTTTTATAATTTTTCTTTACAAATCTGATGAGGACCTGTGGACTTGTTATGCTAAATTCTGCCTCCTGCATTTATCTAAATTTAAGACCAAAAAACCCATAGCAATCAGCTTTTTGAAAGAAGAAAAGCAGCTAAAACTTTTATTTTCACTCTGGGGACAGCAGTGGTATAATACATATTAATGTGCTTCCTACAAAAAGATGATTTTAAAGTAACTAAGGATGATGCCTCCCTTATTGCACTGATTTTTACCAAAAAGACACTGAAAGCAAGAGTATGATTAATTTTAAACTTTTGACAAGCAGTCTATTTTTGAAATAATGCTTTTAAAATCTGAGTGCATTGCTCTCCAAATGCAACCTCTGGGCTACCGCTGTTCCCTCCCCCGTCACCACCACCACTTCAATTTATTAGTGATGGGACACAGTGTCTGCCTCCTACCAGACACTCAACAAGTCCTGATACATTCTAATATCCACTGGTTTACTTAGCAACTGACAACTGAACCAAAGGTATAAGAAATGTCCTTGTCATGCTGGACTTTATGCTTGGTAATTACTTCCAATGAAAGAACCTCAACTGAATTTGAACTGTGGTAATGCAACAAGGTGGAGAAATCCACCATGAGGAGAGGGTTCGGGGAGGGGTGGGAGGAATCCCAGTGCCTATAACACTGTGTCACATAATGCAATACAATTAATAAAAAAAAAAAGGGAAAAAAAAGAAATGTTCTTGTCATTATCTTGACAATTTCATTTGGTATACACAGCTTATAAACAGAAAAAGTTGTGTGCATAACAGATCAGTGTTTACCATCAACTATGTCACAACAATCCATGCTTCTAACATCTCCCACATTATCTCTCTTCTCTAGTTAAGAACATTTATCCCAAAATCAACATTTACAGAATTAATGAGAAGATCCATTAGTTTTGTCAATGTTTTAAGAATTTGTGATAGTTTTTAGGGCATTTCCTAAAAATTTGCTTAGGACTTAAGAATTTATCATGCCAAGCTTCTGCTTCAAGCATTCTTGTAATTGCCCCACATATTTTCTAAGTTTTCTTTTATTTTCTGGTGGATCATATGAGTATTACCACCACATTCAGACAAAGTAAGTGAATCTGAGCAAGCAAACACAGCTTAGTAAAATTCACATGCTCAACAACAGAGCTATGGAATGATGGTATCTTTTCCTGACTCTACAGCTAATATTTTCTCTCCATTATTTTTCAGACTCTATTGGAACTATGGAAGCTAGAATTTAAATGTTTTTGTTGTAAGACCATCCAACCCCTTAACACACCTAATAAAGAACACAGTCTATAACACTGCCAGTCAGTAAATGCTTCTTGAACAATGAAATAAGAGGATCATTATTAAGACAAATTTAATTTGAATTCTACAAATTATAAGTTCTTATTTATACAGGTTTACATTCCTTCTCTTTACTAATTTTCACCAATTCTTTCTGCTCTCTAGAGGCATCTAGCACAAAGAAGATCTCTCTTTCGCAAGGGTCTTCAATTAACAAAAGGCATAATATTTTCCTATATAAAAATTCTTCGTGTTATGTGTTAAGGATAAAGAAGACTTCCATTGGGACGGCTTTTAAAATGGGATAGGAAAAAGGCAGGATTAAATCCAAACATAACCAGGGCAAGAGGGAATGGATAGCCAGAGTATGATCCTGGTGAGCAAATTGCAACAAATGACTATGATGAAGCATCAGATGTAAGAGGAGACTGCTTAAACTGATCCAAGAATATTCTTGCTGAAGGTAAAGCCAGATGATGACACACCATCTGAAGAATGGTGAAGGTTAAGGAACCTGATTAGACAGACAGTGATCAGATATTGAAGGTGGCGGATTCTCGCTAAAATTAGACAATACAGAAACACAAAAGCATGAAAAACAGGGCCTACTTAGCAATGCAGATAGTTGAGAGCAACCTGATGTGAATTTAGTCGAGAAGAGAATCTATGTCAATCCTTGTAGAGTAAGCCAGTGTCTGTCTGCCTTAAAAAATTAAAGTAGATTCTCTCATGTTCTAACTATTTGACAAAAGTTATTATTACTTGCAAGATTATGAAACTCTTCTGGCCTTAGTGATAGCATGAAAATTCTAATTATTTATACATTTTAGAATATGTTCAAAAATAATAATAATAAATGCAATCTAGTGGAAACCTCCACTACTATAAAAGTTCTTTAATCCAGACTCATGGAAATCAGCCTGCCTCTACATGTCTGTACGTTGGAAAGCACTGAGAGTATCTTGAACAAGAAGAAGTCATCACGGAAATGTGTCATAAAACCAGCTTTTTGGAAGAAAGGGTGGTGATCATAACAAGGAAGAAAAGGAACAGTGAGAGTGGGGCTGGAAGAGACCTGTGTGAGAGAAATTCAAATATAGATTGAGAGATGGAACAACACTTCTAATTCTGAAAATAGAGAATAAGCACCATATACAATTAGAGGAAATCAAGCTCTCATTTGCATCTTTGAGAGTCAAGCAAATTTCACATATGATAACTTGAGTGCTCTACTGCACAGAGTGTGACTACCACGCTCCTGAACACCACACTCCCACCTTGGGTGACCTGATAATGACTCCACTCTATCTTGTGATACCATGAGCATAACAGTAAGTACTGATTTCCTCAAATATATTGGAATCTATCCAATGTGAGTACTTGGAAGAATCTGCCTGCATTCCACCTCTCTGAATCCAAATCAGCAAGTTCAAAATCTACTCTATAACTTACAGTCACCTTGGCAGAAAAATAGCTCTCAACTCAAATTACATGCAATTTCAGTGAAATTACCTAAGAAGACGGTTAAAAAACAGTAATACTGGAATATCAGGAAAATAACTATTCTACTGTAAGTGAAAGGGGCTTATATGGGCAGATTATCACAAGAAAATAAGACAATCTGATACTTTAAGTGTCGTTTGAAGGAAGATTATAGATATAGCAACAGCCTCTAATCCCTGAACTGGAGTCCATGAGTGTTTATTCTGAGCAAAGGTTATCAGGTTAAGCTGAAGTCTGGTCTCAGTGATGGCAGACTGTCGGAAAATAGGAAAGAAGGGAGTTTGTGATAAATGCCAGAAATTCTCTGCCAAGGGATTACCTGAATCTTGATCATTTCAACTCAGTTTCCAGAAGCCTTGGTTATTCTACTGGGAACAGATAAATTAGAAATTAAACAATCAGCCTTTTCTCACAGTGCCATAACTACTTCACTACAATCAGGTTTCTAAAAGCCAGGTCTCCTAACAAATTTCCCTTTTCATCTCC